ATATATATTATATAAAAATATATTATTTTATTACTTGTTATTCTTCATACATAGTATACAACATGCAGAAGAGATATTATTGTTAGACAATAGATAGTTGATGTTGTAATGAAAAAGCGATGAATCAACAGAAAATATTTTAAATGTTTGCAGTTATAAATTTGCCTCTTTTTCTTCATATATCCTTGTCCTTTTTCTGAAGGAACCACCACAATTTGTGTATTATTTTGAATTCGTAAATTTTATTAATGTTTTTTTAAAAATTAATTTGTGTACAATCTAATTAAAATCTAGTTGATAAATTAATTGTAATTATTAATTACAAATATATAGTTTTTATTCTTAACAGTCCTTACAAGATATTTTATTTAGAACATATTTCTACTTTACTCTACTAATTTCGTATAGAGTTTTAGTAAAGTTTTAGAAACTATTTTTATTTTCAACTCTTTTTCTTGGGCAAGATATCTTTCGGTACTTTCCCATAAACTTGTAGAATACCACTATCCTTCTTTTGTGCTTTCTTAGACTTAGGTTTGAGTAAACTACTGGTGAATCCAGACTTGTGTCCTTCTTCCTTTTTCTTCTCTTTCTCTATCTTTTGACGCGTCTTTAATGCTTTGTAATTCATCCTTCTGTTCTTGGGAGGTATTGCACCTAAGCTAATAGCGAGCTCAACCTTTGCTCTCCTCGCCTTTGGTTTCTCAAAACCAGACATACCAAATTTGATAATCTCATATCGCAACTTTTTCATTTCTTTTTCTTGTTGTTGTTTTAGTTCAGCAGGTGTTTGTTTCGTAGATTCCTCAAGCTTTTCTTTATTATTTAAGTCATCTGCAGATTTCATTTTTTTCTTTGGCGCTGTATAATTCACAGATATATAATCACTCGTCATAGTTTTCTTGACTTGGGAGCCACGTGTTGGTACAAAGTCTTCCATTTTTTCCTCACACTAAAAAAAATTAATATTAAAAGAAAAATGCTTTATTTATCTTTTAGTCTAACCTCTCTATTAACAGTATACAAAAGAAAAGTAATTTTCATAACCTCGAAAAGAATTACGGAATAAATAAACGTTGAAAATATTTTAAAAACAAAAATGCATGTATTCGACGATTAATAATCATGACATTTAATTTATGGACTTACAGCAATCTCTAATCATAACTAATCACATCTCGTTAGTGAAATTGGATGAATATACACAACAAATCACAAGTTTGTTCTAAGAACAGTTCGCGTTTTGGCGTGTTCATATAGATTAAGATACATTTTCATGAACTTCTCAAACCTGTCATTTCAATGACAGACAGATAACATTATAACATATTGTTTTTTCTTAGGAGCTGCATGTTCGTTGGCTATCGCTTTGTACTTTGCCGCATGGCAAAGTACTTCGACAATCGGCATCAATCGACATCCAAAATATGAGCCATAACTCCTATATATATTTGCTTTTTATAACTGAACTTTTTAAATTATAGTATTTTTATTTTTTTTAAAAACGTAATTCGTTGAATCCACAAATAGAAACAATTAGCGCGAATTATAAATCATAGCGTTATTTATATATCATATGTTTAATAATTTATAATTTTCATGTTTTATTCAAAATTAAAAAATTCATTAGTTTTATCATTGTACATAT